CTTGCTTGGTATAAGCCTAGACCAAGAGATGGAGAATCTCAAGGCAGGTAGGCCAGTTTCTACCATGAGCTGCACATCTTCCTACATACAGAGAGACCAAAGCAAAATATCTAACAAGATTAGCAAAAAAGCATTTGGCTTATCATGTTGAAAGAAAACAGAGGAAAGAACCACCTTGTACTTGTGATACCCATCACATGCTGTGTCTCCGTTGTCTTGGTTACCTAAACAACAATATTGTGTTTTTGTAAGAGAATAATAATGCCCTAGTATCAAATGATTTAGTTCAAGCTTCAAACACACTATATTTTTTATTTTATTTTTGAATTGAATGTAAAATTGTATTCAAAATCAAACTTTTATACAACGGATGTTTCTTTTATGCGGAAAGAAATCTAACATTTGCCTAAAAAAAGCAGAGATTAAAGAAACAGAGCTTTTTCGTAGACTTTTAAGTACGAGTAGCAAGCCACAACGCCATGGCCTCGGAGTAGCCATGATACGATATAGAATACAACATAGAAGAAAGAAAAAGACAGGTATGGTACGAGAGTGGAGGAAAGTATCCCAGATGCTAGGTTTTCTTCCATCTTCATTAGCAGCTCCTTCCCACTTTCAACAGAGAGACCGAACAAAAAAAACATTTGTCATATAATTTTCAGAGAAAAATCAAAATCCTTTAGTAGAAGAAGAATCGAAACCTGATAAGCAGAAATGGCGGAACCGAAAGCGAAGTCTTTAGGGAAATCGTTCTTGTTGAAACCAGAGGAACCGATAAGAAGAAGGAAAATGGTAATCAGAGACAAAACACTATCCATCTCTGTCTCTTAGCTCCATTTTCGTGGAAATATAAGAAGACGAGAGAATAAAAAGTTTTATGTGACGAAGAAACAAACAAGCGTCTCTATCAATAGTCATCAAGTCACTACTGTTTAGGCTATTAAAGTAAAAAAGATATTTTGCTTGTTTTAAACAAAGTAATTTACAAAAATGTCACAATAACTAGTTTTACAGTTCAAAAATAGCACATCTGTGTTTTGCCTACCGAAATGTCACATGGCAATTTATTTTTTTGACAGAAATACCTTTCCTTGTTTTAATCATCTTCCCTCTCTCTTCTGCCATGTTTCACCTCTCTCTTCTGTTTCTTTTTTTTTTTTTGTCATCTGGAATTATTTATTAAACAAAAAGAGATACAAGATTGATTACATATT